TATCCATGATGTCACATTTCTATCATCTGGCCCTCAGCCAAATTTTTTCATGACATGATGGTCACATCACCTGGATCCTGTGAGTTCAATCAAACTTTTTAACTTGTCGGTCCCAATGGAATAATAAGTTCTCTATCGACTCCCCATTAGCTTTTAATTCAAGGAGAAAGATAAGTAGCACTAGTACTACCATTAATAGTAGCAATTGTTGTTAAAATACAGTATGATGAAATGGAAACAGCACTGTTATGTATGCTACACACACTTTTCAATTTCAAGTCCCAATAATCTGTTCCCAGACAACACAGAGCTGAGAGTGTACTGACACAGGATGGGAAGCAGACGGGAATTTAGATAATATATTAAAAACAAATTCTAATGGTGTCTGACAATCTTCAGATTTTTGCAGATTATTATTGAGAATTTAAAATTGGAGGCTTGAGTGGTCTCTTTGATCCTGAGTAAATAATCACTGACCCCTTGGCTATTCATCGATTCCTAAGGGTGGATATCAACCACTTTGTGAGAATCCCTGGGTTAAATTTTGTCTGAATTATAAAATGTATATAGGCCTACCTGGCAATTCATCATTAGATAATGGAGACATCAAGCTCTTGGGAAAATAGATTCACTGGTAGCAAGGGATAGAGTCCACACCAATCATTTGACACTGCCATTGTTGGGTATGTTATTTATAATATTAGAATGATTGCCTTTTTACTTGCAGTTTGCAAAGGAATCAGATATAAAAATTATAATAAGCTAAACAAAATCTATCCAGCAATTAGTCATGTATGAAATTTTCTGAAACCAGTCTGCATCTAAACCCATTGGATTTGGATGGTATGGAAAATTTTGGCTGAGGAATGACTTGCCATTAATGTTTAAAACTCTTGGAGGAAGATTAGACTCATTTCCATACTCAGGATCCTACTCCTACTGGCCATGGCTGACAGTGCTAGATGTGTTACAGAGAACTGAATAATATGAAAATCTTAAGAAATGACACAAACAATACAATGTTATGTATTATTGTTATTTCTGCATGGATGTGTGTCCTGAAAAATTTGGCCATGGGCCAGGGCGATGGGAATGTGCTGTCATGAAAATCTTAGCTGAGAGCTATGTTGGCTGGTGCATGTGAATTATTCAATTTTTTTTATAATTTTGCTTTCTTTTGATTACAGGTTACACAGATCTTCTTGAAAATAGGAACCAGTATTTACCCCAGAAGGAGATTATGTGAGGTTGTTACCGACAGTGGAGAACGTGTAGTTGTCAAGGCTAAGCACTCCGGAGTTGTGAAACATTTGCTCATTAAGATTGATGATGTTGTTAAAGATGGGTAAGTTTAATTTTCTTTGATTCTGTGTCTGTTTCTAGAAATAGCTTTATTTGCAAATTCCAAAGTATCTTTTTGTTTAGGATATTTTGCATTTTATGATATCAGTCCTGTATATATAAGAGAAAATATCAGTTTGTAACAGGAGCAGTTAACTCAGTTGAGTGCATAATACAAGCAAATGTTTTATTTACTCATAGGTATGTCCAAGCAAATTGTGTAGCAAGTTGAATACTCTAACAAAAATGAATAATACATTTTGTCTTGAATATATATGGACTCCCTTATTTATTTCCTTGTTATTTCCTGAATATTTTCATCAGCTTGAACTATACACTTCATAATTTTTTATTTTGAAGGAGTGACCTGGTTGAACTGGAAGCATGTGCCCATCCAACACTTATGGGTAATATTTGCTGCGATTGTGGTGTCGTTCTTGAGGACAATGAAATTACAAAGACTGAAGTGGTCAGCATGTTGCACACTGTCCCAGATCTCAAGATAAAGAAAAATGTAAGTATATGAAAGGTCTCCTTTTTCCTAATGTGTTCAGTTAGGATTTTGCTTCTTAGGATCAAATTTCATTAACTGAGAAACAATTGATCAATGATGTCAATATATAGAAGTCCAAAACAATGACTGCTACAGATACAAACACTGTTTTACAAACAATTTTTCCTAAGGTGGCTGAAGAACTCGGCAAGGAAGACATCACAAATCTTTTGGCTCAAAGAAAATTAGTGCTACTTGTGGACCTGGATCAGACACTCATTCACACTACAAATGATAATATTCCACCAAACCTAAAAGTAAGTAATATCATTTGTTTATTTTTGTTATAACAAAGATCAGAAAGAAGTGACTGCAGTATCAGTGGGTTTGTGATCAAATAATGCACTAAGTTGCCCTCTGTAGAGCTACTTTTACATGGTGTATAATGCTTAAATCTAATTTTTTTCTTTGTGTTTTTCCAGGATGTATATCATTTTCAAATAAACACTGGAGGGCCATGGTATCACACAAGGCTAAGACCTCACACAAAACAGTTTTTAGATAAGGTCTCAAAATACTTTGAACTTCATATTTGTACTTTTGGAGTGAGAGAATATGCCCATTACATTGCTCATTTCCTGGATCCCGATCACAAGCTGTTTGGACAAAGGATTCTCTCAAGAAATGAATGTTTAGATCAGATGTCAAAAAAAGCTAATTTAAGGTGAGTTGAACCCCTATCTCTACTATAGTTCCTATTTTAATGATATTACAGCCCCGCAGAAGGTGGCTTCAGGTATCTCTAACCTCCTTACCTCAATTGCGTATGCTGTAGCCAATAACATAAACATTAGAGTAAATTTATGTTCCCCACACTTTTGATTTTACCCTTGAGTAGTTGACCACATTGCTTGCAGGTGATTTTGGGATGATATTGGGAGATTCCATTATGAGTGGGTTAAGACTAAGAACAAAAGCTGAGATTCGTGATGGACAGTTTTGTGATTATCTTGGGTGTTACATTAGGATATGTTTTAGCCTATTATCCTAAATATGCACTATGAAAATATTTTAAGAAATGTTATTGTTTTGAACTTTCAGCTCCCTGTTTCCATGTGGAGATAACCTGGTGTGTATCATTGACGACAGAAGTGATGTTTGGAATTATTCCCCAAATGTCATACAGGTGGTGCCATACCACTTCTTCCGGCACACAGGTGACATCAATGCACCACAGGGCTTACAGAAAAAAGAGAACGATGACCAGAAAGGATATGATTTTGAAAATTTGAGTAAGTTGGTACATATGCTCAATTTTTTGATAGTTTAGGCAGTGAAATAAGAGATGATATATTCTTGAACTAATGTTAGATGTCAGTGTAAGTTGAGTAGATGTATTGTACCTGACAGAGGTAATATCTCATATTTAGCCAACTCATACTGAGCCAGGGAGCTCCCAAAAAGAATTAGCAACACATATTGTATCAATGTAATATATTTATTGCAAATGTAAAGCATCACCTTTAGTTCCCTGGTCTGTCATTGATAATAATTTTTTAAAAATGAGCACAATCTTATGGTGGGCAAATTCTAAATTATTGTAACTATTTCTACAAAAAAAAACTAATTTCTCATTCACTTGACACAGGACTGTCACGAGACAATACAGAAGTCAGCGATGGTGAAGAAGGGGATAAAAAGAATTATAGCTCCGACTCTGACAGTGATAAAGAGACAAAGGAAATTGTATCCGATTCAAACAAAGATACAGTTGTTAACACCGATCAAACTAGTGATAAGTTGGAGAACGTAAGTACAGAAAGTGTTGAAGGTAGTAAAAGTAAAGAGGTGAATAACGAGACAGCAGATGTGCAAGACACCTCTATAGTGACTAACAAAGAGAAAGATGAAGGCTCAACAGAAGTACAATCAAATAGTGTAGAAAGCATGAACATTGACACAGAAACAAGAGAAAACGGCACGAAAGAAGAGGCAGATGATAAAGAAAATGCTGATTTGACTGACAACAAAGAAAGTGAGGAAAGAAAAAGTTTGAAAGAAACAAATATAACAGAGGAGAATAAAGTGAGAAACCAGGATGCAGAGGATGGGGAAGCTGGCAAGCAGAAAGATTTTATTGATGTTGCAGACAATGATGATTTTTTGCTCTATTTAGAAGACATCTTGAAAAAAATACACAGAGCCTTCTTCAAGGAATATGACAAGCTTCCCCAGGGCTCTACAGAAAAAGATTTACCTGACTTAAAGAGAATCATCCCTAGCATTCGACAAGAAGTTCTAAAAGGTGTGAACATTGTGTTTTCTGGGGTGGTGCCACAACAAATGAAGCTGCGGGATTCAAAAGCCTACTTTATAGCCAATTCCTTTGGTGCTGTTGTGTCTGAAAGGTTAATAGTGAGAGCAAAAGGTGACTCTGAAAAGGAGGATGCTAGCAAAAAGATGAACTACACATCTCATATGGTGGCAGCAAATGTACACACAGAGAAGGTTCACCGAGCACGCAAGCACAAATCTATAAAGGTAATTCTTTCTCTCTCTCTCTTTCTCTCTCTTTCTTTCTCTCTTTTTCTTTATCTCTCGTCTCTCCTCTGTCTCTCCTCTCTCTTTGTCTCTCCTCTCTCTCTTCTCTCTCTCTCTCTCTCTCTCTCTCTCTCTCTCTCTCTCTCTCTCTCTCTCTCTCTCTCTCTCTCTCTCTCTCTCTCTCTCTCTCTCTCTCTTTCTCTCTCTCTTTTTGTCTCTCTCTCTTTTTGTCTCTCTCTCTCTCTCTCTCTCTCTCTCTCTCTCTCTCTCTCTCTCTCTCTCTCTCTCTCTCTCTCTCTCTCTCTCTCTCTCTCTCTCTCTCTCTCTTAGTCTCTCTCTCTCTCTTTTAGTCTCTCTCTCTCTCTTTTAGTCTCTCTCTCTCTCTTTTTGTCTCTCTCTCTCTCTCTCTCTCTCTCTCTCTCTCTCTCTCTCTCTCTCTCTCTCTCTCTCTCTCTCTCTCTCTCTCTCTCTCTCTCTCTCTTCTCTTTGTCTCTCTCTCTTTCTTTTCTCTCTCTCTCTCTCTCTGTTTTCCCTCTCTCTGTTTTTCTCTTTCTCTGTTTTTCTCTTTCTCTCTCTCTTTTCTCTTTCTCTCTCTCTTTCTTTTTTCTCTCTCTTTCTGTTTTCCCTCTCTCTCTTTTTCTCTTTCTCTGTTTTTCTCTTTCTCTCTCTCTCTCTTTTCTCTTTCTCTCTCTCTTTTTTTTCTCTCTCTCTCTTTTTTCTCTTTCTTTTCTCTCTCTCTCTTTTCTCTCTCTCTCTTTTCTCTTTCTCTCTCTCTTTTCTCTTTCTCTCTCTCTTTTTTTTCTCTCTCTTTTCTCTCTCTCTCTTTTCTCTCTCTCTCTTTTCTCTCTCTCTTTTGTTGCACAATGTAATCTTATTTAGGCAGAGGAACTCCTTGTCAAGAAGGCCCCCTAATTACTCAGGCAGTTGTGCACTCTGGCTACTTGCATCAGTGTGATCAATTGTAATTTTGTTAGAACCTGTCAGTGTCTACGTAGAGAATAACTAGTTATTTATTAAAAGTAAATAAGTAAAAAAATATATATTTGAGAAGAAAAGATTTTTTATATACATTCATCTGTATTGCCTATTTTGCACCCCATGTAGCTTGTAGATCATTAGAATTTTTCATGGATCTCACTAGTCTGTGGGCAGTTATATTATGTGTATATTATACGTTATTTTTTTTTCACAAAGATTGGAGTTGGTAGGACTTGCTATATCTCTATAGTATGAAGTATGGTATCCTCATGCAGATTGTTACCCCCAACTGGCTATGGACATGTGCAGAAAGATGGGAGCGTGTGGAAGAGCGGTTGTTCCCCTTGAGCAGTGAGACGGAAAAAGATATACAGCGCCTTCCTCCCCATCACTGCTACTGTCCCGATACTCTGCTGTTGAGATCACAGTATGATGCAGGTGAGCTGGAAGTGGGAAATTAGTTCAGATAGAGAGTAATTTTGTTGTGCCTAATTGTTTTTAAATAACTATTATTTGTTTATAATTTATTGAGGAAAAGGTATGTATATCTTTGTTACTCATTTCATATCTATTATTAAGTAATTTGTATACCCTTGTGTAAGAATGCAGGGGTCAGTTTATTAGAGCAAACAGTGTGATTGTTGAAAAAAAATAATGACATCCTTAAGATGAGATTACACAAATCTTCTTTACCTCTGGACCTTGGAACAGGCAAGGTATTCTGTTCCAAATATCAGTTTTAACATTCTTCTGGCCACCTTTTCAAACTGATTCTGGGGAGGGAGTAAGAATCTAGTACTTGCTCATTTAGAAACTGTTAAACTTTTTTTTAGTTTTTCACTTTTTGACTGATTTCTGGAGAGGAGTAAGAATCTACATTATTTACTCTTTTAAAGAATAGAAAATTATTAAACTTTCTTTATTCTCAGTGAAAACTAAGAAATCACATATATTTCCATGTGTGTATATATATATATATATATATATATTATATATATATATATATATATATATATATATATATATATATATATATATATATATATATATAACCATTCATTCATTCTGGATGACATCTGTTCTTGCTGTGACACACAAGACCCACATGCTGAGTGACAAGTATCCATGCCATACATAGTTGAGCCTGCTTTAAGCTTTGTGCACTGAACAGTTTGGTTGGCCCTGAATGTGGTCATAGAGGAGTTAGAGCCCAGGCTTAGTTGCTTTTTTTTTCTTCATGTCTCAAAATTACTGCAGTCAAAACTGTAGAGAGCAGGAAAGATTTGTTTTCATTCATTCTCCTGATTTTTCACCTAATACTTACCTCAGTAAGCCTGGGTAAAAGCTGTTATAATTGGGTTAAAATTTCTGATAACTTTTTATAATACCCTACTCTCTACAGTAATGCACTAACCAAAAATCAGTTTTATTGAATAGTTCATTTTTGCTGTAGTTAACTAGATAAACATCATATATAAAAAAAAATTACCTTGGAATGCAAGCTTTGTTTTCTCTTTCTGTCAATTTATATATTTTTTTATGTTATTACTTCTTCATTCATTTATTTATTCATCTTTAACCAGATGGACCAGGTGATGAAGATGATGAGCAAGAGAGTGATGATGAGGACGATGATGACGATGAGGATGAGAGTCGCCTCTGCCCAGTGAGGTGTTTCGGCAAGGTGGCGGCCTCCCCAGTGATGATAGTGATGATGATGAAGTTACCCCTAGTAACAAGAAATTCAAGAGAATAGAAGACCAAGATAGCAATAGTCAGTTTTCAAATTTGAGGTCGGAGGATGAGAAGGAAGAGGACTCGCCTCTGCCCAGTGAGGTGTTTCGGCAAGGTGGCGGCCTCCCCAGTGATGATAGTGATGATGATGAAGTTACCCCTAGTAACAAGAAATTCAAGAGAATAGAAGACCAAGATAGCAATAGTCAGTTTTCAAATTTGAGGTCGGAGGATGAGAAGGAAGAGGACTCGCCTCTGCCCAGTGAGGTGTTTCGGCAAGGTGGCGGCCTCCCCAGTGATGATAGTGATGATGATGAAGTTACCCCTAGTAACAAGAAATTCAAGAGAATAGAAGACCAAGATAGCAATAGTCAGTTTTCAAATTTGAGGTCGGAGGATGAGAAGGAAGAGGACTCGCCTCTGCCCAGTGAGGTGTTTCGGCAAGGTGGCGGCCTCCCCAGTGATGATAGTGATGATGATGAAGTTACCCCTAGTAACAAGAAATTCAAGAGAATAGAAGACCAAGATAGCAATAGTCAGTTTTCAAATTTGAGGTCGGAGGATGAGAAGGAAGAGGACTCGCCTCTGCCCAGTGAGGTGTTTCGGCAAGGTGGCGGCCTCCCCAGTGATGATAGTGATGATGATGAAGTTACCCCTAGTAACAAGAAATTCAAGAGAATAGAAGACCAAGATAGCAATAGTCAGTTTTCAAATTTGAGGTCGGAGGATGAGAAGGAAGAGGACTCGCCTCTGCCGAGTGAGGTGTTTCGGCAAGGTGGCGGCCTCCCCAGTGATGATAGTGATGATGATGAAGTTACCCCTAGTAACAAGAAATTCAAGAGAATAGAAGACCAAGATAGCAATAGTCAGTTTTCAAATTTGAGGTCGGAGGATGAGAAGGAAGAGGACTCGCCTCTGCTACCCCTAGTAACAAGAAATTCAAGAGAATAGAAGACCAAGATAGCAATAGTCAGTTTTCAAATTTGAGGTCGGAGGATGAGAAGGAAGAGGACTCGCCTCTGCCCAGTGAGGTGTTTCGGCAAGGTGGCGGCCTCCCCAGTGATGATAGTGATGAGGGCATGATGGATGATGAAGGAGACCTGAGCAGAATGGGGGCTGACCTGGAGAGTCTCTTGGACTAGAACTGTTGCAGTACAAATTTTATATCCTCAATATTCTGTCTCTGCCTCTCTCTCTCTCTCTCTTTTTCTCTTTTTTTTCTTTCTTTTTTCTCTCTCTCTCTTTTTTATTTCTCTCTCTCTCTCTTTTATTTCTCTCTCTCTCTCTTTTATTTCTCTCTCTTATTTTTCTCTCTCTCTCTCTTTATTCTCTCTCTCTCTCTCTCTCTCTCTCTCTCTCTTTATTTCTCTCTCTCTCTCTCTCTCTCTCTCTCTCTCTCTCTCTCTCTCTCTCTCTCTCTCTCTCTCTCTCTCTCTCTCTCTCTCTCTCTGTCTCTCATATATTTCTGGGAAAAGTTCAGATTTTATTGAGATAATTGTTATCATTAGGTGTTTTATCCTTAAAATGTTCAAATGTGTGTATATTGTGTAAATTATTACTGTGTTACCTGTTTTCATTGGCTTTCAGTTGTTTCCTTTGTTTGTCAACATCATCATAATTTCATTTATATTGTTCAGTCTTTAAACCTCAGAGAGCTTCAATTTCATGTTTGCTATTGAATAAAATATTTTCGGATGGATTATAAATGTTTACCATAATTGTGGAGAAATTATTTTTACATTTGAAATGCTTTGTTGGATCTCTGATTTAGTTTATTTTATAAGTTTTAACAATTTTGTCTTTGTTCACAATTTTTTTTTATATATATATAGGTCTTGAATAGAAAGAAAACTGGTTTTATATGTTATTTGGCCTAAAGACCATTTGAAACAAATATATCTTTAGGAAATAAAAAGTTTTCTCATGTATGTTTTTACTTATTCCTGAAGTACAGAATATGTAATGGGTTTAAGTTGGGAGGATAGTGTCAGAGGCATTATTATTCCATCAAAATGAAGTAAACACAATACATACGAAATTAGGGAATTGGTTGAATATTTGCAAAATGTTAACCCAATGCCACCAGGTGGTTTCCCGATGCAAAAGCCCTCTCTCCCGGACTGTATTCATAGTGGCCCAGGCCTCGCTGCTGGGGGATCGTGTCCGCATCATGGCACATATGCACATGCCACCCGGAATCTGGTCCAGGCATTCCATGGCATGTACATACATGCCACCCGGCGGCAAAGGGTTAAAAGAAAAGCTTATGTTAGATATGTGAGACTAATGTTATTATGTAAAGATGTAGAGAAGATGATTGGAATTATAATTAAATGTCTAAAAAGCAATTAAAAATGCAATTATAACAGTAACTGATCATAGTCTGACTATAAAAAAGGAATGCTAAAATTTGGGGACTGGTTGTGGAGATGAGGGAAGATACTGATTTTGGTACATGTTACAATAGAATGGAAAAAAAGTATGTCCTGGTTCAGCAGTTTCATCTCAAAGCCAGATTCAGAGAAGCTTTTTGACCAGTTTTAGCAAAAACAACATTGAGCTTATTCTTGAGCTTTTATATGACCTTTGATGTTTACCACATTTATTTTTCGATGTAATCATTAACCATTAACCATTCTTGAGTTTTTTGGGGGCCAAGTTGTCTTGCAAAAACATCAATGGCATTACTGAGAAACTTGCATCACTCCTCTTCTTTAACCTATTGCCGATGGGCATGCCATGCCATGCCCACTGTAAGTTTACTTATTTGATTGTTTTTACACATAGATGGCTACACTTGTACTAAGCCACCAATGAGCCAATTACGAGTACTGCCTGTGTCGACTGTAAACCCATTTCTTTAATTTTCGAAAATATTTGATGTTATCTTATTTTGCTCTTACTAATGTTTATAACATTATAGTAATTATAATGTTTATAATAAAGATAACATCATCGATTTTTCATAGCACTAGTAAAAAAACATTTCCCCGCTAGATTAGCTCAATGTATTGTAGATTTGGCAGATTGTAATATTTTGTAAGGGGAAAAGACCACATCTCCAGTGGGAAAGAGTGACAATGGTAGGATGAAAAAAGTAATCTAGTGGAAAACCATAAGAAAAGAGAGCAATACATTAAACAGCAAACATCATGAAGGGAACTGTCCTCTGTGTGTGTGTGTGTAGGGGGAGGGGGCCACTTTGTATTGTAGGTATGGTCTAGAATACCTATACATACAGAAAATTGCCTTTGCTAATAACAAAATTATCAACTAGTCAGCAAGCTTAGACGTCTTATGAAGTGGAAAACTTGGTACAGTTGCTATAAAAATTGATTTGTATTTAAACTATTAGTTTCATATTGATATTGGTCTAGGTTTTGAGACCATTATTTGAGGGAGGAAGCTTTTTTCTTTTCTTTCTTTTTTTTTACAAACTTTGTTATTCAGTGTACAAGGAAAATATCTTTCTTTTTCTTTATTATTACCTCATGCAGGATAAATTGTTCTCAGAATTCAGAAGTTCATATTTTTTCTATAATATGATATACATTTACGAGAAAAAAAATGCTTCAGTAACCCAGAGATTTCCATACAACATTTGTACATATTACAGCTTGTAAGTTCATAAATTATGCTGAGGACTAGTGCTCTTTTCCATGGCTTCTTTAGCTTATGCTCTCTGTCCAAAGAGATGATCATGAAGCAAATACTGATGATGTTTTATCAATGTTAATTTTTTTGCTCTAATGTGCACTTTGTTCCATTAGTCACATCAAATGATATGTGTTGTTCTACATACAAAGATTAGACAGATATTTATACCCTTAATTATAAACTGAATTAAATATTTTTCTGTAAAATTTCTTTTTAAATGTGTATTCATAGATCATATTTTCTGTAAAATAAAATAACAATTTTATCAAATCATTATATGTATGTTACCACTGAATCTGAAACAGATATTGAAGCTAATGTGAAAAGGTAAACCTTATGCAAGAAAGTAAAACACAGTTTCTCAAAAAGTAAATATATTTAATTCTTGGACCTTACAAAAAGTATCGATCTACAGTAATAACTAAAGAATTAAAGCATTCAAAAAATATAAAGAGATCTTGTAGATTTTCTTTCAACAAGAAATAATAAAGAAAAAGACAACTTTGAAGTCATTCTAAAAACTTTATGAAATTTATATAAATATGTTCTTCTACAAAAATATATATATATTAATATTCAAAGCTTTACCAGTAAATTCACATGAACATAAACCATTCACTCACTTCAAGAAGGAACATAAAATAAATTGACAATATCAACATTCTGGCTCTGTTAAATAACATAAATGCACTTTTTTCCACTTAGTTCCTGCACCACTTACAGGATTTTCTATGACATATACAACGATGAGAGGTCTTCGCTGACTGGTTGGCCGTGTTTGAGCAACTGATTCAAAACAAAACTTCTATAATTGTTGGCATGACAATTCCTCATTACCAAGGCAGGCACATTGAGAAGAAGAGCATCTGCATTCTGGAAATCATTTTGTAATCAACACATAATTCATTATCAAACTTAAGGATATAAAGTAAATACATATGAAAAGGTAAATGACTTTTTACAAAAAAACAAACACAACAACAACATAGAACTTGCATTCGAAAGAGGTAAACAATATAGCCAATCCCTTCATCATCACATATACTTGAAGTTTAAACATACAATTATTTTCTTATTGCAACTACTCACCATTAATATAAACACCCCACAGTTATATGCTTCTTGTTGTTGAGTACTTGGTGTGTGGCAGGTTCTCCACTCTATGTCAGTTGGGCCTAAAGCTCTGGCCCGTTCCATCATATACTTCCTAAAGAAATAGAAAAAGAAAAGCAACAGTGAGGAGGAGGATGATATGGTGGTGCTGGAGGAGCAGCAAGGTAGAGAAAAAGTAAATGAAATATAAATAATGCTTGGAAATTTACTCACCGAAACATGCAACTATTACTATCGTTTCTTTTGACACAACAAATACTTATTCTCATTATACTTACTTCCACAAAGTAAAATATTTTCTTCGTCTTTCTGTGCTGTACAACGAATCTAACATAGTCACAGTTTGACTTTTAACATTTCCAGCCAGAAGAAACCAATGTTTTTCTGCTTTGACCGGTATTAGAAGCCATTTAAAAGAACTTAGATCCACCTGTAATAAATAAAACTATCAATATTGTTCTCCATATCACTAATATTGAAATAAGATTTACTAAACAATAGTGAAATAAGCACCAGAAAAATCTTAGTAATGAAGGGTGCTACTCTCTACAACTGAGACACTTTACCTATTACATAACTTATAACTATAAGCACAATATGATGAATTTCCAGCTTACATTTCGAAAGAGCCAGTTACCAAAGTCTCCAGTTTCCCAAATATTTGCTAGCTGAGACGGAAATATAAAGACTTCATTCGCCCCGCCAACATTTCTTAACTTAGCCCTTAGCCCCAGGTAGGCATGGATAACCTGCAACAAGATAAGGGAATCTATAGAAATGTAAACAGAATTAAATTAAATTTCAAAAAGAAATCTAATGCCACTAAAAAGAAGAAAAAAAAAAAAAGATGACAAAAAGTTGGTCTTTACTGATTATATATATATATATATATATATATATATATATATATATATATATATATATATATATATATATATATATATATATATATACACATATACACATATACTCTATCTTATAACTCATGTTCTTAAAGAAAAATACACTTGTATTCTGCATATTATATTTTATATTCTATATACAGCTATATAGAATGTAAGATTGCACATTCAGATCATTAGATAAAATTCAGTGAATAAAAGAGCATGACAATTCTTTCAATTTACATAGTATTACCTAGCCATGTAGGAAACTAAATAATCTGGAGATGATTTAAAGTATTTACTGGTAAAATCATAAGCTAACACTGCTATTTTTTAAGATTAGATGGAAATACTATGCTGTTTTATAGATTGGATTTACCAAACTCCTATGGATACCATGGACCAAGCAAACTACCTATCTGTATATATAGCATCTATATCCTTTTATCTATCTGTCTGTCTGCCTGTGATCTAAAAAGACAATATAAAATTGAATATGACATATGCAAAGGATTGGACAAATGCTGCGATGTGTCACAAAAATTGCTATGTAATGTATAATTTTATCCATTATGAAAATTAATATAACACGGCTTAAAAAAATGTGTGACAGTTGATATTCTGTCACCCTCTGAAAACATAAACAAGAGGAAGGAAAAAATAAAAGATAAAGGAGAAAAATGAGAGAGAATGTGAAGAGTAAAAAAGAAAAGTAGAAGAAGCAAAGATAAAAGTATGGAAAAATGAATGCATGATAAAGAGAAGATAGGATAAAATAGCAGGATAGAGGAATAAAGAAAGAGAGAAAGAGAAAGGAATGCAGAGGGGCTGATGACCCTTCATTCGGTGAGAATAACCAGAAGAAAGAAAGAGAGACAAACCTGGTCGTCCAAGTGCTCCCCAGGACTGAGAGTTTGAAGAGACTGTTGTCTGATGCTCATATTTCCTACAATAATGTGAATGTCCTCTGAATACACTTGGGGCTTTGGCGAAGACATTTCATGAATGCCTAGTGGATATAGGGTGAGCACTGTCTGCGTGGGTCTTAAATTGTGGATGTATGAATATAAAAGGAGTGATGCCCCAAGAACATAGGCATTTGTGCTCTTCTTCGGATTAACATTTAAAATTTTACATCTTTGAATCACAGCAACGATGATGGCTTCAAGTATTTTTCCATTACTCATGTTTTGCATTTCGTCTACTAGTGATAAGACAGCATTGCACTGGCATCTATGTTTCAACTCGTTAGCATCTTGTACTTTTGTATAATTGAAATTCAGAGATACTTCTAACAAATCTTGAATATCTTTATTTGACTGAGTATCTATAAATCTATTTACTCCTGCCATTCTTGTAGTGAAATCCTGGCTGTCATCACATAATCTTCTTTTCTTATTCAGTTCTTTTCTTGTATATACTTTTCTCTTGTTTGGCAAAAGGACTTGCTCTCTCTTCATTGCATGTGTTTCGCCTGGTTTGGACAACGTGAAATGAACAGACTGGTTATCATTATGCGACTCAGAAATAAATTTCTGCTTTGTATTCCTCCTGTTTACTGATGACAGAACACTGTCCGGGACCAACAAAGGAGGATCATTTACTTCCATCTTCACTGTAATGTCATCAAACCCCAAGGAGGGAGGGACAACCACCTGAACAGCTGGCCTCATGTCTGGTTTGGTGTTGGGCTCTAAGTATATGACCATTGAATCATGAAAACTCTCACTGTCGACTGTGAATATTTCATTTTTTAATGGCAATGGCTTGGGTATTGCTGTCATATCTATGAAGGGTAAACCTCCTTGGGTGGGTGTTATTGTAGGCAAAGAATTTGTGTTGGGTATTAATTGTGTTACACTCTTACTCTTATTACAGTCTAGGTGCTTCAGAGGTTTTGAAATTAACACTTCTTGAATATTTTCAGTAACTTGGGTAAAAGCATCTGCAGTTTTAACAGGTTTTGCTTTCTGCATTATTCTAAACAGTTCATTTCCTTTCTCAGAAATAGCAGCATCTTCCAATTCATTATCTAACCCAGTTAAAATTACATTATCTAGCTCATCTCTCAATGAAGAATTTTGAATATTTTTGTCATTCTCCTCTCTATATTCAACTAAAGAAACTTTCTTCCCTTCCTGCCAAAGCGCCTGCAACTTTAACAACAAATCATATCTATCTTTGTACTCCTTTGGTCCAAGATAACTACTCATATCTGCTAAATCTCTAAAGATTCTGTTCTTTTCCTGGCACTTTATATCTTCAACACTTTCATCAATGGATGCTCTTTTCCCATCTTGCCATAACTTGTGAAGCTGTATTAGCAACTCAAACCTTGCGCAGTATTCTCTGGGCTCAAGGATACTATTCATGTTTGCAATGAGTTTCATCACTCGTAACATTTCCAAAAACTTGTTATTTTTTCTCATCTTCTTGACTTTTTCTGGTGAAAGGGGCTTTATCTTTACTGAAGCTTTAGCTCTGCTGGCCATTTGTGCTACAGCAGATGCAGGAGATACTTGCCACTTGACTGGAATCCACTCCTTATTAAATTCAATATTTGTTTTCTCTGAAACCAAGTAGAACACATGTCTGCACAGCAAGTTTGTGTTTGCATAGAAATTACATGAACATGAAACTGAATGCTGACTTATGGTAACACTATAGACGATGTTATCTATCACTTCATAATTTTCTTCGTCCTTTGCCTTCACCTCGAAAGTCATACCTTCACTCTGTTTCAGTTCATCAACCATTAGTTCAAAAGCATAATCAGTTGACACATCACGCACATTTTTGACTAATTTTGTAATACTATAACTTACAGTAGTTTTATCCAGAAATACCTTGTAATCCAAGTCTTTAGTCCTGTCTTCATAATTTTTCATAAGATTACTGACTGACAGAGAAGGACAGAGATTCTCATTTTCTGATTTAAAAACTTCAAGAACTGACATCAAAATGTCCCTCTGACTACTCTGAACTAGAGCTTGAGCAATGACGTGCTTCTGATTTCTGTTGTCAACGGCCATGAGAGTCACAATAGGCATGACCCTATGCTTGATCTTGCACATGACATCCATAAAAACAGAATCAGGATATTCTTCTAATTCCTTCTTTTCGGATGACCTTTGAGCATACAAGTAATCTAATATTTTGTCCTTAACTGACAAAATAATAGTAGCCTTTTCATCCTCCTCCAAGAGAGTTTCAATTGAGGACAGAATGACATCTTCCTCTGGGCCAGGTTGGGGCAAACACTGTTTCATACGATAAATATCTTCAATGGTAAGCCTTTTCCCTGAGAATTCATTTAGATATGCCCTGTCCTTTGTGGGATCTATTTTCAAATTTAAAAATATTTCTCCATCTGTTCCTTGAGGATGCATCAAGCGTCGATTCTGTAGAGAAAAGGCACAGCAAATCACATTTTTCTCCACATTTAACAATATTTAATATCTAAATTTTAAGTTATTATATACAAACTAATTCCAAAATCAGTAAGCAAAAGCCAAGATCTTTTAGAAGCGAATTTTGTGATTTTCAGTTTTAACATCAACGAATCCTTCTGTGCAAGCATAACAGATAACTTGTCCAACAAAACTTTATCATATCTGGCATATGGCTGACTTACCTCTGGATAATTCTTATATATTGCTTCAGAGACTTCATGATTATGCTTTGTTGAAAATTGAGTCACACAAAGCTTTCCTCGTTTTCTGTCCATTGCAAGTACCAAGAAGGCACCACATGACAGCTTGAAAGACCTGTGCAATGAAACTCATATGTCAAGCTATAAAAAATTAAATGAAAAATATCCTAAACCAATTTACTACAATTAGACTACTACAAAAGTGCAAATAAAAAAACATATTTTTCATCATTATTCCATATATTTTATTATAATAATCAAATATATCAACTAAATGTGTGAAAAATCACTTAAAAGGTCATTTTCTACAAATCTTACATAATTCTTAACCTCAAAGCATAACTAAAGAGCATACTATTAATCTATCTACTAATGACAAATATTAATATTATGGTCATTAAAGCAACTTTCACATGGCATGATATTACTAACCTCTGATTTGGCCTGATCCCTCTGCCTTCAAATCTTCTTTTCCCACCATGTTTACATTTGTACCTTATATACTTATAAATAAGTTTCTCCGGGAACAGCTTCACAGCCTTTCTCCTCGGCCCATCTTGATCTCTTTTGCTAAGTTTTGCGCTCTTGTCTTTTACAAACAACATGAAGTTGTGGTCACTAAAAGCTTTCAAATCTTCCTCAAACTCTGCAAACGATTCGTACTCTGCCCCGACCTCCAGCCTCCAGCTCTGCTCTGTAGTCGAGCTTCTTTCTTGTACAACTTCTCCCATTTTTTTTTCTTCATTTGTGAATTATAGTCTAAATACTTCTATTTTCAAGGCCCTGAAATACAAATATAACTGGTAATAAATTTGTCATAGAAAAATGCACTGAAATAATACTAGGTGGTCTAAATAATGCCTTATATCAAATTTTATTTGCATATCTGGTATAAAGTATGATGCTTATAACCATTATCTTAGAACTTTGAGGCAAGTTATTAATATTGGAACTTCTCTGTATATAAAAATGAAAATCCAAAATATCCATGTACCATACATTTACACATCCATTTTACAAAAAACAACTACCTATGTGCTGACTGCAATTCCCGGATGCAACATTCTCATTATTTTTTATAAAACTGAATACAGACAAATTTCTTTAAGCTCCACTTCCATTTATATGAGAGTAAAATAATTACAGTAAATAAACTTTTATCCCATTGCCCCCGGGGAAAATTAATAGAAAATCGGGAAAATGCTGTACTCATTTTTTATATTTTTGTGAAATGTCTCTGTACATAGATGGCTCTGTTAGTCCTGATTTCACCTTTCCTTGAATTGGCGGGAAAAAACATATTCTTACTAGTGCTATAAAAATAGATGGTGTTATTTTTAACGGCAAATTAGGATAACATTAAATATTTTCGTAAATTGATGAAAAGGGTGAACGGGTGAGACAGGCAGTACTTGTAATTGGCTCACTGGTGACTTAGTAAAAAAGTGTAGCCATCTATGTGTAAAAACAATCAAACTCACAGTGGGCATGGCATGTACGTACATGCCATGCCCATCGGCAAGGGGTTAAAAATGCTTTACCAAAACATATGAAAGGAAAGAGTATCAATAGTTACATTGACAGCTAAAAAAACATGATGAGAATCTATATTCCCAACTGCATATCTTCTACCTACTGTATTACTGCTGATATATAGTTAAATATATCACAACTAGGAGCCTTTCCTACTAAGATAGATAAATGTGGCTACCACTTAATTTTTTTCATGGGGGGAGGTTCTTATATTCGTGGTATGGCTCTATGGGTTTAGACTCTTTTTTAATAACATGAAACCAATCACTTTTTCTTTGTTAAAGTTATGAATTTTTCATACTGACAGTATACCTGTAATAAAATCAGCAACAGTAAGAATAGCAAACTAGACTAAAAACTTTTATTATTATTATTATTATTGTTATTATTATTATTATTATTGGAAAAAAAAAGTCATGGGGGAAATACAGATGCACTTGCCAGAGGGTAAGTCCCAAGTCCAAGTCATGAAAATTTCTTTAATAATCGAAGTTACTGTGACTGGGCATGCCCGAGGGAAGGGTCGATGGAGAACTGTGCCCCCTCCCCCTTTTGTCTTCACCTCTATATGCACAGCATGACAGAGCTATAACTTAGCAAGAATGAATGGATTTAAATTGTGAACGATACCTTCTGTGATCTTCATCTTTCTCTGGTGTATAAATGCACTGATTGGTATCTTGATAATGCCATTATCATCATAATTGGGACTTCTGGTTCTGATATCGTAAACCTCTGTTTCCAGCAAGATCAGAATTGACTGATACATAAATGGTAATTATTCCAAACATATACCTTATATATTGTTGACTTCAGTGGATCTATCAGTAAGTCATATTTAAGTTAGGGACCTTACACTGAATATTGCACAAGAATAAGACCACATCAAACATTTTCTAGTCTGAAAATACGTAATAGAGGTGTGCTGATCCTTGACAGAGAAATAAATGGACAAAGGCCAATATTACATTCCGATTTACCGAACTTGACAGATTATTTGTAGTTCCCATTCGTTATTTAGTAAAGCCAGGTAATACAGATACAGGTACATACAGGCACAGTTACGTAACACATCGCTCACTCTCTGGATAAAAAAAATCATAAATACGTAATTATCACCAAGTAAAAACCGTTTTTTTCCCAGCCTTACCAGTCGTAAAGATGAAGACGACCATTTAAGCATAATTAATACAAACTTTCCCCGTCCATGCCTTCGCCGTCACTCCTTTTCGCCCGCATCTCCTTCGCCTCGATTCCCAGAAGATCCCTGAGCTTCAAGGTGACACTCTCAATTCAGGTGCTCTAGACAGAACTTAAAAAAAGAGAGACGGAAAAGGAAAAAAAAGAAGACATTCGGTTTGTTTACGTTGGTGGTGGTCCGAGCGTTCGTGGATTCGGAATGCGGATTTGCGTTCCTTTGGGGTTCGGTTCGGCGGCGGGGCGTTCGCGGATTCGGGGATTGCGCTTTTAGGGATAAGGCAAGGCTTAAATGGCGTTGTTTTTATCGTTTGTCTTTTTGTTGTGTTTCTGTTGTTGAAATTATTGTTGTTGTCACATTTTATTTATTCATTTATTATTATTATTATTATTATTATTATTATTATTATTATCATTATTATTATCCTCATCATTATTGTTATCATCATCACCATCATCATTATTGTTATCATCATCACCATCATCATCATTGTTATCATCATCACCATCATCATTATTATTATCATCATCACCATCATCATTATTGTTATCATCATCACCATCATCATTATTATTATCATCATCACCATCATCATTATCATTATAACAATCATTACTATTATTACTTGCTATATAGCCACTATCATTATTTTAATCAGTTGTAATGAATCATTCAACTCAGGAAGTAGTAAACTGCAGAGCATGTCAGGTTTAGTTTTTTAATCTGTCATGAGAATTCGGGATGTAATTTTCGTTTATTTGAGCTTTTGAATGATTGGTTTATCTTGCATGGGCGACCAATAACCGAAGTAATTCTTTAGTTGCCTATATATACATTTGGCTATGAAGAAAATCAATCAGTCATTTTCCCGCTCAAGACTGTACAGCTTTGACAGCCATACGCTTATCAAGATGCATTCCTTAAAGCGCAAATTACCCCTCCAAAGAATGAATCTAAAAAAAATAATTTACTGATCACAAAAATGTTACAGTAAAAAATGAATATACCACGATAAGCAGTAACAAAGAAAGTAAATAAAATTTTATATATATATATATATATATATATATATATATATATATATATATATATATATATATATATATATATATATATATATATGCATCACACACATACACACAGACACACACACACACACTTATTTTGTGCTTATCTTGCGCACACACACACACACACACACACACACACACACACACACACACACACACACACACACACACACACACACACATATATATATATATATATATATATATATTATATATATATATATATATATATATATATATATATATATATACATATATGTATTATAAGGTGGAAACTGATTTACGATCCTACAATGATGATAGGTATACGGGCGTGAGTATCATGACACATAGATGAAGCATTTTGCATACTGAACTTAGAATACACATTAAAGGTATTAAGCACGAAGTGTCAGCTATCTTTATATGAGACTTGTCGAAGTTTCCTTTTTTTAGTCTATAACCATACAGTGAAGTAGAGCAAAACTCGAAAAGTAGCCATCATTTCTTCCATTGCCTCAAAAATAATTGCATCCAGAAAATATTTAAATTAGATTTACTATAATGAAATTATGTTTAATCAAGTTGTTTACAATTTTCTAAATCTTGTTGCTGTAATCATTATCATTTATTTTGTACAAATTACTATAGTTTGTAACCGTTTTTTTTTTTTTTACACGAGGTCAAGGGTGTCCAAAATAAATGTATATCGGAACGTCACCGGAGTGCTTTATTATTATGTGGATTGCTTGCTAACAGGCCTATCTGATATGTAAGGGAAAAGCCAGTCATAGTAACTGTTATAATGGCTATAAAGACAGTTCTATGGGATCTGGAAAACGTTGGCGGAATATTGTATTTATAAAAAACAATGCGTCACCAATAATAAAATAAGCGCGGAACACATTTTACACTTCGCGTACCCTATGCACCTGGCATACAATAACAAAGGTAGTTTCTTATCTTGCAGTGTAAAAACAGTGTTTTTCAATTAGGGCAGATTACCATTCTTCGCCATCGAGATGAAAGTGAATGCCATATATTCTTCCTAAAACGAAACGCTTCGAATAAATGTCATTATTCAAATGTACCTCACCTGTAGATGCCGCGAATTAAATTAGTAGATCTTAATTTAGAGCACTCTAGTCTTGCAAAACATTTAAGGAGACTACAGGAAAATGTAGGGTCTATTTGCAACGATGGGAATGATTTTATGTGGACATACGAAAGAGCTCGTTGTTAAGTACAAACTCATGCATTTAGTTTGAAACGCAAGTGAAGTAACCATAACTATCTTATTGAAATTTTGTTGAGATGCAGCTTCAGCATCACAAAATTCCAGTCAAAAGGAAGGCAGTCGTTAATTTTCTATTTATTCATTTAATTTGTTAACTACTGAAAATTGAGCATAAAGGGAGATTTTCTGCGGATTTTAAACTTACAGAGGTTCAGTCTCCGCCACGCGCCTCTGCAATTTTCCAAGGGAATTTAATGGAGGATTCTTTGAAATTTACCGAAATCGAAAATGCGTTTGAGACCTTTACAAGAATATCCTACGTGGACAGAGACAAATAAAATCAATTTATAAAGAATTTGTTAGAAAGATAAGTGTGACAAAACATTCGCCATTACTAACGGTTTTCGACAGACAGGTCTTCCTTCGTTCAGTCAAATAAAAAGATAAAATATTTCCCCTGTGTCATACAAAGGTGATTAAACAGTTCATCGTAGTTTAACTTATTTTTCCCCATTACATTTGTGTGAGAAATTTACTTCCTGTTTGCACCTGTTTCCCTAACGTAACTTAATCTTTGGTCTCATTTCCCTTCCCTCTTAACGACTCACCCAAGCACAGCAACGGACACAAGGAAGTTTTTATCACGTCTATCATTATCATCTACTGCGTAATAGTGACAGGGTCTATATCGTAACCGGAAGCCAATTTTTTCCCCTTTCCACGTGACTCGCCTACAAAGGAAGATCACACGCCAGGAAATATGATTGCTGTATGCTTTTTCAAAACGTTCGGCGGAATATGTAGTTATAAAAAAACAATGCGTCACCAATAATAAAATAAGCGCGGAACACATTTTTACACTTCGCGTACCCTATGCACCTGGCATACAATAACAAAGGTAGTTTCTTATCTTGCAGTGTAAAAAACAGTGTTTTTCAATTAGGGCAGATTACCATTCTTCGCCATCGAGATGAAAGTGAATGCCATATATTCTTCCTAAAACGAAACGCTTCGAATAAATGTCATTATCCAAATGTACCTCACCTGTAGATGCCGCGAATTAAATTAGTAGATCTTAATTTAGAGCACT